CTTATTGATTACAAATTCATCATCACATCAGTGGTCTAAATGTATTAGTAACTAGATACACAGAGACATTAAAGACACTAATTTATGTTTTAAGGAGTGTGCGTGAATGTGTGTGGTATATTTTGGCATACTCAGTCACTGATTGCCCAAATGGTTATTATCTCCACATGGATTATGCTGTAATATAATGAGTTGGGAATGAAAGGGCTCTAGAGTGAACACCCAGGGTGAAGCGAGGGTGGAATCAGAGTTCAGAAAACATTGGACTAAAATGCACCTGCATAAGAGGTGTCTTAGGTGTGAAACTAGTACATACTGTATTTTTGCGTGTGCATGTGAGAGCATGTGTTTGAAACCAATGGGGGTGTGATTACCTGACTTGATTGACAGGCTGATGGCGCTCTGTATGTTACTAGCTGTGTTGACTCCTGCTCCCCGCTGGAGGCCGACATCAAGAATAACACACACCTCAGTAACGTCTCTCACCCTGCGTGAAATGCCTGGCACTTTGGAGACGAGAAGGCGAGAGAGAGAGCAGTCCTGGGCCCCATCACTCCACACTTCACCTGAGGAGAGAGACAGCAAGACACACAGACGGACAGACACACACAGAGAGGGTGACATGGAGGACATACTTAAAATAGAGTCATAGGGCAGCACAGGGTCTCAACTTACAGCAATTAAACAAACACACAATATTAAAGGGTGTAGAACCAATTTAATACTGAGGAACATATTAAGGTCTTGAATGCAATCCTTCGCCAATACTTCTTTTATTATGCAAATTAGGTCATAAACATTAGCCAGAGTAGATTTTTGTGCATTATGTTGATTTCGCTCTGCATGTTCTGTAAATGCCTTTATCATTTTGAAAGCTTGCTCAAGACAGAGAGCAACCATTTAAAAAAATCCTTGCATTGTCCAGAACACCAATTCTGGTATTTTTGCCCTATACCCGGATTTCCATTACCATTCATTTCATTTTTTTTTTTAATTGATTAAATATTTTTAAATAGAAAATCCTGAAAAAAGCACCATGGTTTTCACAAAAATGTTGAGCAGCACAATTGTACTAATGGCTGCTGAAAATTTAGCTTTGCATCACAGAAATAAATTACATTTTTAAAGATATTCAAATAGAAAACAGTTATTTTAGATTGTAATAATATTTCACATTTTCACTGTAATTTTTGATCAAATAAATAAATGTATTGGTGAACATAAGAGAATTATTTAAAAAATCTTACATACCCCAAACTTTTGCATGCTAGTATATAATGAGATGGCCAATGTGTATTAGAGAAAAACATTTATTTCATAATGAGATTTCTCTCCCATTTTAAATTCTTATTCTCCAATGAAAGTTTAGATTTGAGTAAATTTTTAAAATAAAATATCTAAAGGATTGATGATACAGATTAATTTTCACAGCCTTTTTTGTTCATATTTACCAAGGGTATGAATAATTTTGAGCACAACTGTATATAGCGCTTTATACAATACTGATTGTGTCAAAGCAGCTTTACAGTGTCAAACATGAAAATAGTTTGTCAATAACGCAAGAGGACAATAACAAAGTGTCATTTTTCAAGTTAAAGTCAGTTCATTGATGATTCAGTGATTCATCTTCCAGTTCAGCTCTCTTCAATAGTGTCTGTGCAATCAGTCAAGCGTCCCCAACTAAGCAAGCCAAAGGAACCAAAACTCCATCGGTGACCGAAATGGAGAAAAATCCTTGGGAGAAACCAGGCTCAGTCGGGGGGCCAGTTCTCCTCTGTCCAGACCAAACCAGCATGGTTGCAATGCTCGATTGTCTGCTGGGTGTCTGTTTCTAAGCATTCAGCTGTAACATTCTACCACCACACTGTTTCACATGTGATATGTTTGGCACTGCAATGTGGAGGGACAATGCAAAAGTAGTGGTAACTCTACTCTGAAGCAAGGTTTCATAACTTATGGGTAAAATCTGGTGCTAACCCTCCATCTAAGACTACTACATTAATCTGGTTTGAAAGCGGTGCTTTCATTTCAAAACGCTCCCCGTTCACACTAGCATTTTTCCAAATGTTTCTAATCCACACTAAAACATTGGAAAATGCTAAATTCACCTTACTGCGCATGTGTAGAACCTCATAAAAGATCACTGAGATAATACAGACATAATAAAGTTTGGTTCCCCTTTTAGGGAACTCGCGCTGCGTCCTCTAGCGGACACTTTGGGGAATACTGCCAGCATGACCAGTGTCTGAAGCACGTGTGGAAAAAATGCCAATCCTATTGGTCCACGTGGCCCATGACATTATAGGCAGGTGCTTTTGTTGTCTTAGGAGCCAACTGTTTGAAGTGCGTGTGAAAGACCAAGGCAGGTGTAGAAAGTGTTTGCCTCCGTGCTCGAGGTTCCTGACACATCGAGGACACACATGATCTATGCGTCATGTGTCTTGGTTTGGAGTTGCGCGTTCGGTGCTCTAACTGTGCTCATGGAGAGTGTTTCCAATGAGAATGTCCCATTCGCGTTCGTCCCTCTTCTCAAGAGATGAGCGACAAGCATCTGCGTCTGGTGGTTCGGGTCCCGCTGCTGCCGAGGCACTAGGATTAGGATCATGGGGTTCACAGGTCGAGCTTGCAGAGAAGTTTGAGAAGGGTATAAACCTTTTGAAAGCTTCTGTTGCGAGCTCGAGCGCTCGGCCGTTTCAGACGCTCTTTTTAGGACTATCAGATCCCACGGATAGCGCTATATTGAGTCGAGCAGCCCCCGAGAGAATGTGTGCCTCCGTGTTTGGATTCTAACACTCGAGGG